CCAAGATATCCCATTATTCGGCCGATATCCTGTACCGAAACCCTGCCTTACAAAACTCTTATACTCTCGACCACTCCATTGCCTCTATCCCTCAAGATGTTTCCCACTCGCCGTTCTGGAATTGGGTCACCAGCCCGCCATCTGCGCCAACTTCTCACTCAGATGCCGCAGGTCCTACCCCAACAAATACGCAACACTCGCTTCCATATCTTGGTGTTTACTGGACACGAAGCATAGTTCTGGGTCAATGGGTGGTAATGAGTGGAAATGAAACGCCTCCTTCATCAGAGCCCCCGCGCAAAGTTCGAATAGAGGGAAAGGAGGGCGAGACAACTAGAAGATATCCCCAAAAGTCGCCACTGGACAATGCGCGTTTGCCGTCCCGAAAAAAGTCGGAGAGCAAAACCCCACTGCATTATCGCGATGAATCAAACACAGGGCTCATGATTCCTGTCTCCGACTCCGAAGCAGAGCCTTTTCTTGACGTGGTTCAAAATGTGGATTGGGAGTCGACATCTCTAGGACCCATGTCAGATTGGCCCGCTCAACTTCAGTATACATTCAATCAACTCGTCTCAGATTCGCGACCAGTGGCGCTCTATTGGGGTCCCGAGTATGTCACGATCTACAATGAAGCCTTTTCAAAATACTGCGGCGCTCGACATCCTGGCCTTTTAGGACGACCAGCGCCTGAAGCTTGGCCTCACCTCAAGACAAGACTTGATGAAATGACGGCTTCGCCATCGAAGAACTATTCGAATGCTGAGGATGAGTCCAAGTTTTTCATCCCCTTGGCAGACGGCTCACATGAAGAGACATATGTCAAATCTTCCATGGTCCCCATTGTCTACGACAAGAAATGCCTCGGAATCCAGCACTCGCTCCTTGAAATGACCTCGAGACGACTTTGGGAACGAAGGATGAAAATGCTTATTGATCTTGGTGAGGCCCTTGTCTCTACGAAGGATGCCAAGTCGTACTGGTCTAGGACGATTGAGGAATTGGAACGCTGGAGCCCTGCCTACGATGCTCCATTGGCTTTTTTGTATTCTGTGGCAGATGACGAATCCGACACTACCCTTTCGAAATACGATTGTCCCAAGATTTGCCATCTTGAGGGCTCGCTGGGCGTGCCAGAGGGACATGCGATTGCTCCTCAGGTCCTCAACCTCCGGGAAACAGATGAGGGGATGGCTTCTGTTATGAGGAAGTCATTAGATCACCGTCAGCCAATCCTTTTGCAGACAAAGGACGACACATTGCCAAAAAGCCTGTTGCACGGTTTAGCATGGCGCGGCTTCGGTGACCCTTGCCAGGCTGCCATCGTGTTGCCTATTCGTCCAACTAAAGAGGAAAACGCTATGGGTATTCTGTTCTTATGCTTGAATCCTCGACGCCCATACGATAACGATTATCGGCAATTCATATCCTTGTTGAACCAGAAGCTTGCGAGCTCTCTTGCTTCCACAGTTCTCTTGGAAGAGGAGACCCGGCGGCGGCGCAACATTACCGAGCAGGCTGCCCACGATAATGCTATGCTTACGCAGCGGCTAGAGTACCAAACTGAACAGACAGAGAGGTCCATGCAAACGTTTACCGCGGTTGCTGACTTTATCCCCGTGGGCATGTGCTTTGTTGACGTTGAAGGTAATATCACCTTTGCCAACGATGCCTGGCATCGTATCACCGGATGCCCTAGAGGGCCAATCGTGCAAAGCACACTGCTCGAGTCAGTACTCGAGGGAGATAAACAAAAAGTTATACAAGCATACAAAGACGTCCAGAAAGCCGATACGGTTACTTTCGAATACCGCATCGCCCGAAACGATAACACAGCAGACCCTAATAGCGTCAAGTCTTCTACAAGTCCTTTATCTTCAAACGGCGAAAGAGTCTTGCGTCATATCCTGGCTTCTACAAAGGCCGAGAGAGCTCCAGATGGCAGTGTCATTCGGATTCTTACTTGCCTGACTGACGTAACGGTACAAAAAGACACGGCCGAGGAGGCGGTCCGCAGGGCACAAGAAGCGGAGAATCTAAAGCGCCTCGCCGAGTTTGCCACGGTTGGAATGTACGATGTCAGCATGGATGGAAGACTGCTTAGCGCGAACAATCTTTTCTGGGAACTGACAGATTTGGAAAAGGTCGATCTCACAAAGACCGATGTGAGGCCTTGGCCAGAATGTGTTGTGAAGGAAGATTTGCATATCCTACAGGAAAGCCTCGATAAGCTAGTCGTGTCAGGACGAACTGAAACGGCCGAGTTTCGACTCCGCAACGGCTTGGTGACAGAGGACAGCAACGGGAATTCAGCTGTGGCCCCGCGATGGGTACTTGCTACGTTTATGCCAGTCAGAAGCTCTGACGGCGTGATTCAATCCTTTACCGGCTGTCTGAGCGACGTGTCGATACAGAAATGGCAATTGGAGCAGGAGAAGCTTCGCAAGGAAGAGGCGATCGAGTCGAAGCGTCAGCAGGAGAATTTTATCGACATGACCTCACACGAGATGCGGAATCCATTAAGCGCCATCCTTCACTGTACCGACGCAATTATTGCCTCTCTTGCAAGAGTGCAAGACATCAGTGACAACTCTGCACCTCTTACACCAACACGAAGCGGCTCTCAAGGCGAAGAGAGACGTGTTGGCGAAAGATCCGTTGAGGAGAAGAAGCTCTTGGAGGACAGCATCGAAAATGCCGAGACCATTGTGACGTGCGCTCAACACCAGAAACGCATTGTTGATGACATTCTCACAATGTCGAAACTGGACTCCAAATTATTGGCCGTAACGCCCTGCACGGTAGATCCTATCCAGATTGTGAACGGCGCTCTCAAGATGTTTGAAGTGGAGGCTCGTCGTGTAGACATTGAGCTGACTTCTTATGTTGACAAGTCGTACAAGGATCTCGCATATGACTATCTTGACTTGGATCCAAGCAGAGTTCAGCAAGTCCTGATTAACCTCCTCACGAACGCGCTGAAGTTCACCAAGACTGGCACCACCCGGCATGTCACTGTCGGGGTGAAGGGGTCTCTGGAACCACCAGGAGAGGACATGACAGTGGTTCAGTTCATTCCTCGATTCTGCGATGTTTCGGAGGAATACGACCAGCCCGCGCTTAAGGGACGTACTCGCCCCGTGTATCTCTTGTTCGAGGTAAAGGATACGGGCCAGGGTTTGACGGTGGAAGAGATGGGCAGCCTCTTCAATAAGTTCGTTCAAGCGAGCGCCAAGACACACACCAAATACGGAGGATCAGGACTTGGGTTGTTCATTTCCCGACGCTTGACAGAACTCCAGAACGGCGCGATTGGTGTCTCCAGTCAACCTGGCGTGGGATCAACGTTCGCGTTCTACATTGAGGCTTTTCCGCCAAGCGAAGCCTCCCGGAACGAAGCGCTCGCTGCCGCGGCTGCAGCCAGGTTGATTACTGGTGCTGACAGTACGGAAGCTGATGGCAAACGACCCTGCCGAGACATTCGCTTGCAGAAGCATCAAAACCCAGGAGGAAATGTTCGGCTCGATGGGATTCTTGTTGTCGAGGACAACCTGATCAACCAGCAAATCACGAGACGCGGGCTGACGGACCGAGGCTACATGGTAGATGTTGCTAATCATGGAATTGAAGCGCTCGACAAGCTAAAACGCAGGCAAGGTGGTGCCCCGGGACTCGGCCTTAAGGCAGGCAGTAGTCGCTCGGGGAGGAGTAACATGAACCCGCTACCTATAGCCATCAATCTCGTTCTTATGGATATCGAGATGCCGGTTCAAGATGGATTGACGTGCACGCGAATCATTCGCGAACTAGAAGCAGAGGGGGAAATCTTTTGTGCGTCCGGAGGTCGCATTCCCATCATTGCTGTTACGGCCAACGCACGGCCGGAACAGGTTATGGAAGCCAAGCAGGCTGGGTGTGACGACGTTATGGTAAAGCCATACAGGATACCGGAGCTCATTGAGAAAATGCAAGTGGTGGTACGACGAATGGGGGGACTCAGCCCGAACTCACCAGTGAGGTGATTGGCATCGTTTAGAGGGCTGGAAAACAGCTACAGCCCAGGTGAAATTACATTTCGATTCACGAATGTTGGCGTTGGCCAAGGTCAGGGGCCACTGCGGAATAGAGACGGGAGCATCATGAAGTTGATCTCAAACTGTCTGGAACAGGCTGAGACTGGTGGAACTACCAACCGGAACATGGCCGGTAAATAAAAAGATGGCATAAGAAGGAGTTCGGGTACATAATTGCATAGGCACAGCGGAGTTTTGGTCTTGCTTGAGGATATATCGCATATCATGGTACGGGACAGCGTTGAATGGGCAATGACCACCTTTTAGGGAACGGAATTCTGATGAATGAAATTTCAGAGCAAGCGAGAGCACTTGAAAGTCATAGATTCAAAAATAAAACAAAATGCATCAGTCATGATGAGAGTAATTCTTTTGCCTTTGTTGCGAGATTATGGCGGTGTATAATGATGATGATGTTCCCCCACCCGGGCCGGATGGGGCCGTTGGCTGGTACCTTACTTATCTTACCTGGGGGAAGTGATGATGCATTCGTGATTGAATGACAATTCAATTGATCATGAGGCCTTGAAATGGAGATACACGTGAGTACATCAATGGAAGAGAAGCGATTACATGAATACCTAGAGGGAAGATAGTAGAACTTGCCATTCAATTTCAAGAGTGCTGTTCCTGAGTGCATTGTGACATCATTGGTCCTTTCTCCATTCAAGCTCCCACCCCTCCTCTCCTCCCGTACCTCCCCGCAATCGAGGAATCAACCATTTTAATTCCGTCACCTTCTATACCTAATCAATCACCTTAGCTATCGACAATTTTCTCTCTCACTTGCTACAGAACAAGCCCTGTAAGTCGTCGATCTCCTCTTCCCGGTTCGAATCGACTGTTATCAATCCCAAGACTTAGCTAAACAGAGATCTCATTCATTAGGCGCACACCCTCACCAATTGTCATTCTAATTCATTCATCATGACGACTATGCCCGCATCTCACGGCCACAACGAGGCCTGCTGCAACATACCTCCTGTTGTATCCAAGGGATATGAGGCAAAGGGAACTTATAAGGAGATCGGAGGCTACAAGACTTGTAAGACGACTCCTAGCACATATGAAGAGACAACAATTAACTTTGGCAGATGTTACTGGTCCCGTCGACGCTAAGAAGGCCATTGTCGTGATCTATGACATCTTTGGGTACTTCGATCAGACCCTTCAGGGAGCTGACATCCTCGCCTTCAGTGATGCTCACCAGAAGTACAAGGTCTTCATCCCTGACTGGTTCAAAGGCAGCCCCTGCCCCATTGAGATGTAAGAGCTCACGTCCTCATGTGTTTGTTTGTAGAGCCTCACTAACCGCTAACTTGATGCCAGCTACCCTCCCGACAACGACGATAAGAAGAAGCAGCTTGGAGACTTCTTCGGCACCTACCCTCCCCCCAAGGTCGCCGGCCAAGTTCCTGACTATGTAAAGGCTGTCAAGGACCAGGACTCTTCCATCGAGAAGTTCGGAATTCTCGGAGTAAGTGATGCTTAGTTGCAGCTATGTTTCAGTACTGACAGGTCTTAATAGTATTGCTGGGGTGGCAAGGTCGTTGCTCTCAGTGTCAAGGCTGACTCTAACCCCTTCTCCATTGCTGCTCAGATCCACCCCGCCATGGTAGATGCTTCTGATGCCGAGGGCCTTTCGGTCCCTACCATGCTTCTGGCATCCAAGGAGGAGCCCGATGATGAGGTCAAGAAGTTTGAGGACAACCTCAAAGTCCCCAAGCACGTAGAGACCTTTAAGGACCAGATCCACGGCTGGATGGCCGCTCGTGCCGATCTCAGCGACAACCGCGTCAAGGAGGAGTACGAGAGGGGTTACAAGACAGTTCTTGAGTTCTTCGGTAAGAACTTTTAAAGATAGAAATATGACGTCTATCTATCGAGAGATGCATATAACTAGCCTATGAGAAATGACCAAAGAAAATAAAAACACTGTTGTCAGACAATTGCGCTTACATTTCTCGTTATTCATAAAACATTCTATAATCATGATTTGGATGCCTCTTCACCAAAAGCCAATAGCTCCTCCATATCAAGACTTTGAAACTCGCCGAGCTCGATACTCTCCCCATTATCACCGTTTCTTATAGCTGTGGAGATCATGTACTCCTCGAGCATCGGCACCAGTCTCACGTCCACGCCCTCAACCTTCTTGCCTCTCAGTCGAACCTCTTGGGCTTCCTTCATGTCTTCTGGCGGGGCAAAGTTGTGCATCTCGAGGTCTTTCAACCAGCTTGCCAGAAGAGCGTCCCCTGTCATCTTGACATAGGCTTCGCGGAGACACCATAGTGCATAAAAGTAGCGCAATGCACGATCTCGGTCTTGAACTGTAGGAACAGGGTTCATGCCTTTAAGCGCTGAGACTTCTCCCGCTCCAAAGACATCGGCATGAATGTCGACGAAACTTGCCCATCCATCTTCTTCTAAACTGCTCAGATCTCGATCTCGTCGTTCTGATGGACAGACAACATCAACTCCTACGGCCAGGCCCTTTGGCGGATCATGAACCGCTAGAAGAACCGCGAGACCGGCCTGATGGGAGACGTTGAAGATCAGCGGCTCATCACCATTTGGCAAAACAAATACGGGCTTAGTTCGAGCGTCTCGCGTAGTCTTGGCCTGGAACCAGGGGACGTGACAGAAGCGAGAGATTGCGTAGCGCTTAAGAAGAGCCGAAGCGAGAGCGAGTTTGGCATCGCGGACGTGGTAGTATCTCAGGACAGAAGATTGTTCCTCCTCGGTGAGAAGTGAGAGTGCACGTGAAGCCTACGGTATGACATGAGTATCAGGTTAAAGTGGATGACTAGAGCACTTACAACGGATGTGAGGTCTTTGGTCTTGAGAGCGGAGGGCCAAAGTGGACGAGTGTCGATCACCCATTGGATGACCGTAGGTGAGGATTGGGTACTACTCATCGTTGCTACAACTATTGCCTTGGAATGCTGAAGAGCTAGCGTTTCAGGCTTCCAGTGACAGAACCATTAGAAGTAGGTGATGGGAGTTGAGACGAGACTGTGACAAGACAGGTGAGACTCGGAAGCCGAAAAGACGAAACCGGGCCTGTCGGAGGTGGGGTCTTGATTACAGGCCGGCCGAAACAAAGGCCAAACCAACTATCATAGAGCAACGACCATGAAGTATAATAAGAGGCCACGAGGAGAACATTGAACGTGCTCTACAGGCTCTCATCCCTTTCTTAATTCTTGAGACCTAGTTATGCAGTCGAGTCTTGTACGAGAGTCCTGCACCTCTTTTCTCTCCTTGACAACCACAACCATGATCAGTCATTAAAACCACCACGGCTCATTATGCCCGAGAGGAGACTTCCATTCTTATCTTATATCACTTCTTTTTCTGCTCAAGTTGAGGCCTTTTTCTTCTCTCAGTATTGAAGTATCTTCTACTTTTACCATTTGCTGGCTTAAGCCAAACGAGTTGTGCTGCACGACCAGTGTATCTACCGAAGCCAGTTCCTACCACCAAGCGAAACAATAAGAACTATACAAGAGCTTCAGTCAAGGAAATCTAAGATGCGCTCTCAGCATACGGCACGCTCGACTTTTCACTATTCACCCGCCCATCTTAACGCCGAGTGTTGGGCACAACAAAACTCCAGAGGAAGCCCAGTCCAAAGCATTTGCTATGTTGGATATGAGCGGATGGAACGACCCCTGCGAAGAGTCTGAACCTTTACGCGGTGCAGGGGATTAAGGACGTTGGTGGTGGCCGATGTCTACTAATACAGACTCGAAATTATTAAAGAGATACGGGGTACGCGTATGATGTGGATGGATACGGAGACACCGAGATAATGATTCTTATTTTTATTTTGAAGCAGTCCAGATTTAATATTAATGTTAATGATAATGACCAGCCCTTCTCTCGGCCTCCTCAAAGTGAAGATGTAGGACAAGTTGCTTGAAGTATAGTTTCAACACAGATCCGGCCGATAGACGAAGCCTTGAACAGTTCATGTCTACTCCATGACGCTCATGTCTAATGTCTATGGTCTTCTGCTGAGGCATGCTACTGTGGCCAGATCCCATCATCAAAACTACGGCCATGAAACCTCTGCTTATTCTGTCTCCGACTCAGCATCAACCGAGAGTAGGAATACATGACGGTCTTCCTTGTTTTCGCTCTTGTCCCCTTCCTTTGCTTTTCCATCTTCTTTATCCTTGGACTTATCCTCTCCGTCTTTCTTTTCATCCTTTTTAGTTGTATCCACGACGCCGTCCTCTAGTTTGCCGACGGTCTTGATCGGGTTGCCCTCGCCATCCAAGTCCACAACCACATCAATCTTGTCTAAGCTTCCATCTTCGGTGTATTTCCACATCTGCTTAATTTCTCCACGCACCAGTCCTGTCAACCAGAGAGATCCCAGAACGCCAGGAACGAGATACAACAATGCAGGCTGGCCACGCTTGAAGATCAAGAGCATGGCCAACGTAACCATCATGCCGAAGAGATACCCAGTGACGGAGGCATGAAAGTAGGTCTTGCGAAAGTGTGCAGCCGCCAAGTCAGGGGGCAGCTGCTGTGATCCAAAGATAAAGAATGCCCCACGCGTCCAGAGGCTATCTCCCCATTTGCCTTTGACGTTGACGTACTTGGCCTTGACCTCCTTGTGTTTAGTCTCGCTCCGTACGATGAGAGCGCCTGATGTCGGGTCCTTCTCAATGAGCTTCAGGTCAGTGCTCTCATACTTGATCTTTCGATCATAATGGAGCCAAAGGTCAAACCGAAGGGCTAGGGCCATGACCATGCCTGGAATGACGATATCACCCAGTCCAAGGATGCTCTTTCGCTCTGCAGCCTCGAAAGTGAGCTTGATCGGGACCTCCAACTTGGTTGCTACTGTAACCATATAGGGGCTGGAAATGTTTAGCATTGGAGTCAATCTCAAAATCAGTCCTATAACTCACGTGTAAAATACCATTATGATATCATAAAAGAACAGACCAACTAGGATCAGAGTGCTAGTCAAGAAATCTGTGGGCGAGATGAGTTGAAGAGAGCCATAGCACATGGCATAACCAAGCATATTACTCAACAAGGGGGAAGTAGTTGATGAGTAAATGAGCGCCGTGGCTACTGCCATAACCAAGGACACAACATGAGCAAACTTGATTCGGCCTTCCTCTTTGCCCATTCCATGGATGAACAGCTTGATGGCCCAATGCCGCTTCAGGAGACCTCGAAGCTCCCAGCCAGACTTGCGGATCTTCTCCGAGAACGCCAAACAAGCAAATGGCCCGGGAAAGGGGTTTTGAGTTTTAGGGACGGCTGCGTCAGGGTTTCCCGCATCATCACAGACTTGTACTGATCTTGTCTTCTGATCCGCTTCCCTTAGTCGCCCGTCACGGCCGCGCCAGTATCGTGGGAACGCCAGACTGGTCACTATCTCAATACCATGAGAATAGATCGATACCAGACTAGCAACGGACATGGTAGACATGTACCAGCGTAGAATTTTGTTCAGAATATCAGGGTCCTTGAGCCACTGAATCAGGTAGTACAAGCCGATAAGGACAGCACCAGCCATAAGCGGGAAAACAATGGCATCGGAGGGCTCTAGTCCCTGGGCAAAGCTCTCGTCTTCGTCATCTTTGGAGCCGGGCTTCTTTTTCTTCGCAGGTTGTGCAGATGGGGGTCGCCGAAGAGCAGCGTGGGCACCAAGATAGATGATGCCAATAGCGCTGAGGACGAGCCTGACTTCAAGCATGACAAAACTCAGATCTTTGATATGGGCAAAAGATGAGAGCCAACTTTGCCCACTGGCGAGAGTAGAGTTTAGAGCATCGAAAGAGCCCTCCAGGGCGGCTGGGTCTGTAGCGTTTTCTGCCATGGTTTGACTGACTGGAAGACGTTGCTAATGTTGTTGATGAAGAGGAAGCAACGTGTTCTCAGCCTGGATAAGTTGTGTAAAGTGAGAGTTAAGGACCCGTCATGACATTTCGTGACAAATTTCCAGCACGTTGACTCGGTTGTTTCTGCAGAAAAATTGCAGTAGAGTTAAAGAAAGGAGGAAGAAAGATAAAAGGTTAACAAAGCACAGAAAAAGAACAAAGGCCTGACATGCAGTATCTTTATTGATGAATGACGTCTGATGCAAGTGTAAAAGCTCACTGAGCTGAACAGAAACAGAATGTTATGGGGCTGAAATATAGTGGCCGGCCTTTTGTTACACAGTTGCTTGACCAATCATGCAGCTCGCAGTGCTAAAAACGCCAGGAACTCAAGGTGCATACAAACTGCGCCAAACCTAACTCACCATCATGTTGAATATACCTAGAGATAGAGATGCCGACCTTATTTTGGCAAGGAAAAGCATAGTAAGCGATGATAGTAGGTGAAAGAAAGACAAGATACTGTAGTAGTAGTCATACTATGAAATCTCATGAAATGTTTGCCCAAGCACCAGTGACCTCACTGCTCCATGTTCGTAGACTAAAGCTGGATGTGTCTAAGGCATGGATGGGTTCGCAGATCCTAAATTTCCCCTCCATCATAAACAACTTACACCCAACAGCACCTCGATCATGACAACGAACATATCACTTGAGACCACAATGGTACGTCGCAAACTCTCGCCTTTGACTACAGTCGGGTACTGACAAGCTACAGGGCTCGCTCACCGTTGAGCTCTACACCACCCACGCCCCCAAGACCTGCAATAACTTCACCACCCTCGTCCGTCGCGGCTACTACGACAACACCATCTTCCACCGCATCATCCCCAATTTCATGATCCAGGGCGGCGACCCAACAGGAACGGGTCGCGGCGGAAGCTCCATCTACGGCGACAAGTTCGAGGACGAGATCGACCCGGGTCTCAAGCACACAGGCGCTGGTATCTTGAGCATGGCCAATGCGGGCCCCAACACGAACGGATCGCAGTTCTTTATCACGCTTGCGCCTACACCTTGGCTCGATGGCAAACACACTATATTTGGAAGGGTCAAATCCGGAATGAGTACAGTGAAGAGAATGGGCATGGTCAAGACTGGGTCCGAGGACAGGCCCAACGAGGACATTAAGATTGTCAAGGCTCGCATTGTAGAGGAAGACGAGGAGGTCTAGATAGAAAGTATTCGCGGAGTGGATTAGACATCTCTAGCATTGGCGTTCAGGATTAAAAGTTACAAATTATGGTCACGGTCAAAGTCACAGGTCGCGGTCAAGATCAGTATTTCTGCAAATATCCATTGTTGTTGTACTCATTACGCCAAAAAACGCCCCGGTCCCTTTTCCATGGATGCTGTAAATATCCGGTCCCGGTAACCTTAGCCAACCAGCTCGCCATTCCAATGCAATGATGTATTGATGATAATACAAGTAGAGTAAATGTTCTCGAGAAGCAAGCGATAAGCAAATGATGTCCTTTGTCGCGTGACGTACTGCCTGCTTCTATCGTATCCAACCATAACATTCATACTGATGCCCGTAGGCCAGGCTGACGCCAAAAGGACAGCCTGACACGACATCAGATCGATGATCTATCGCTCATGATGCTGTTACTGAGCGAAGTCTACTGAGGAGGGGATGAGAGTGTGTCTGAAGACTCTGACTCTCCAGTTGCCTCGCGGATGAGGCCAGTAGGCTTGGGCTTGGGTGACCCCAGCGGAGGTTTGTTCATCTTAAGCTTCTTGACGGGACTGATACCCTTGGACACAACCTTCTTGGGTGCCACCTCAACGGATTCACTGTTGCTGTAGTCGGCCTTTTGCTCCTGGCTTAAGGACGACATACCCTTAGGTTTGTCCTTTTTGAGGCTCGGCTTCGTCTTGATAATCACCTTCTTGGTGACCGCCGAGGAAGTAGGCTTGAGCTTCTTTTTCTTGTGACTGTTCTCAGAATCTTCCTCTTCGTCGCTGGCATCGCGCTTCTTCGGGCTGGCGGCGCGGGAGCCTGGCGCAGGAGTCGCCTTTTGTGATGAAGGTGGCGTAGTGTCATTCTGAGATCCGCCATTACTCAACTTCTGTGCTGCAGCTCGACTGGCATTGCGACCACTGTTCCCAATGCACGAGCCCATGTGGTTATTCAGTCGAGTGACAAGAATACAACGCTTGCATTTGCTGCAAGTAGCAGAGGGGAAAGAAAGAACATTGGGTGGTCGCTGTTCAGCATTGGGAGAATCGGTATTCTTTTCCATGTCCTTCTTCTTCTTGCCTCTACCGGGACCTTGAGGAACCCAGCTCTGGCCATAAATATCGCACCCGGGCTTATCAATATAAGGATGTTTCTTGCAGTAGATGACACCGGGATCGGGTTTTTGAGCGCCTTTTCCGTCCGTCGGGTATAGGAGTCGGGGCAGATGGCATCGGGGGCACAGAATCTCGGCGGTCGTCTTAAGAGGATTGCCCTTCAACAAAACTTTTCCATCCTCGTATATAGCGGCGTCGGTCTCAATCCGTACGTCCGGTTTTGAGTCTGGCGTTGAGCTGTCGGACGCGTCGGATGCCAGCTTCTCGATGCGAATGGCAGCGGTGGTAGCTCTAGCCGTCTTCTCTTCGCGGTGCGTCTTCATCAATAGATCGCTCAGAACGTTGTAAAGCACATCATCTAGTACAGCATGTGCCTGAGGGAGGTTCGTATTAGCGATTTATTAGAAAAGGCATTGCCGATGGATGGCGAGCAACAATTTCGATGCAATGGTGCTGCGATAGGGGGCGCAGAGATGAGCAATCACCACAGAGGATATGATGGTGTCGCGGATGGCGACTGGTTTCGCATCGCAGGGAGGTGGACAGGTAGAGAGATAGAGACCGAATACTTACCAACTTATCCATCGGAGCAGCATCATCTGGAGCGCTTATGACGCCCGCCCTGCCCGTGCCAGCATTCATGATGTCGCCGGATATCCTGAGTCCGAGCCAGGGCCGACAAGTTTGTAAGGAACAATGCTGTAAAGCGGAGGGTGTGTAACTGAAATCGTGTGATGATGCCGAGGAGCGAAACGGCAGCTACCGGGCGGAGGGGGGGTGTGCACGGAATTGCAGCTGGGGTACAGTAGTGTTACTGAGGTGAATACGGAGTAGGGGCGCTGGTTATTGCGATAAGAGAAAAAAGTTTGGAGGAGAAAATATCAAAAGTTGAAGGTGAGAGAATTAATCGCGAAGGAGGAGGAATAATTAATGGGAATGAGTACGAATGACGAGTAATTGTCACTCTGATCAGGATGAAACAATGAGTTAACCAAATGAGTTGACAATAGGAAGTGGTGAGATGAATAAGATAACAATTGATGAGTTTCTATTCTCCAATCTTCGTTTGTAGGAGGCTCCCAGTGCAGTGCGCTACAAGTTCAGCGTTTGCGTTCGGCAACCGGGGAGAAAGATATTGACGAACGGCCCAAGTGACGAAACAATGGCCCGCTTATTGAAGCGAGTAATTAAGAAGGAAAAGAACAAAAGAGCACCAAATGCAGCGACAAAATTTTCGATGCCTGCGATGAACCAAAAGATGACGGGACGACGGTTGGTTCTGATGGTTCAAAGTCAGTCAAGGGGAAGATTTTAAGCAAAAAAATAAAAGTCAACGTTTAGCAGAAGCCACCCGAAACTGAGCCTGAGCCTCAGTGGGAGTAAGAGTGCCCCAGCGCCCAGTGCTCACCTCGGTCGGTATCAGCCACTGAAATTAGAGACGTAGAGTTTGGGAGTCATCTCCACCTATAACGAATCTGACAAGATTAGGGGTTGGTATTTATCTTACTACAGGCCGGTACCTTAATGTTATTATCCAGGTACTGAGTCTATCATACGTACTACATGCGAGAGGTAACTAGTTGTCAAGATCGATTGATCAAGATCCAGCACCTTCGCTTGTGCGAAGTTTAATTGATAACCATGACAGATGCAAGGGGCGATCGATCACCTTTGACTTGGATGTCACTAATGCAGCTCATAGTGTGCGACTCTGATACAAATCACCCAGAGAATTAAGGAAACCCAACATAGAAGAGTCTCATCAGATGGAACAGTATCAACGGAACATATCCCTTACCGTATAATGGTTGCTTGTACTCATCCCTAGAGTTGCCCATGTGTTATCTGTTACCATCCATGACTCTACTATGTAATACTGCAGAGACTACCTAACCAAACCACTTACTCATCCTGCAACTCACAAACGACAGCTGTCAATCGACTTTCAGGGGCGGGTACCCTTCGAACATTGGCTGGGCTGCTGCTAAATTTATCTAATTCCCATCAAGGGGCTCCCTTTAACGAATGGCGATCGACTTCAATCTAGATCTCTCACGTGGGATTGGCTATCCCTTCATCTTGAATGCCATTCATTGGGCGATCCACGCTAGTGGCTATCCAAGAGCCTCATCCCCCGTCTGGACTTCCATAAGGTAAGGTACTTTCTCGACCCGACCCTTTGAATACATACCTCCACGAAAGCATAATCCTCATTGCTCCGGATTGACACTTAGACTCAAAGAGCGCATAGTTTAGGGTTTCGGCCGGGTGCTTTGTCTCACGTTTCCCAACCTTTTGTGTTCTTTTCCCTTGTTTATCTTCGTCGATATCTGCTCTGTCTCATATAAACAACTCCGTCGTCTCTCAACAACATATAACCTCTCCCTGTCTCGATCAACCTCCGACTACATATTTACATACCTTCACGTTAATATGTCTCTTCCGTCCACAAAACCCGCCCAAACCTCCATCCGATCCTTCTTCTCGGCAAAAACACCCAAATATGCTCCTCCACCTTCTCAGGGGGCTTCCATAGAACTCTCACGGCCTCCCCCGCCGCCTGCTGCTACTGCCCCTCCACCAGCCTCGAAGGCGCCAGACTCCACGATAACCTCGTTCCAAATTCCGCCTCTGCCGACATCTCTCCCTCAAGAAGCTACGATCCGGTTGGTCTCGAACGACGACGTCAACGCTCTACGCCGCATCAACGCCCTTCTTCTTCCCGTTAGCTACCCCGACAACTTCTACCAGCGTGCAGTTGATCCGACATCTGGTCGTTTTTCCCGGGTCATCACCTGGGCTCACGATGGCTCTGAAGCCAAGGTCGTCGGCGGTGTCGTTTGCCGCGTTGAACCCATCCTCGATTCCAACAGCCAGGGAGTCATGCCTCAGAATCTATACATTCAGTCGCTTTGTCTGCTTTCGCCTTATCGATCGCTGGGTCTCGTGAACGCTGCGGTGGACAATATCATTGCAGGTGCTGTATCGGATCCCAACTTGAACGTGACAACTGTCACGGCTCATGTTTGGACTGAGAATGAGGAGGGTCTGAAATGGTATGAAGGTCGTGGCTTCAAGCGCGAGAACCAACCTATTGAGGGCTACTATCTCAAGCTGCGTCCCAATTCAGCCTGGCTAGTCAGCCGTCCAACTGGCGCTTCTGTCCGGAACTTGCTACCTTCTTCCTCTTCTGCGCCTCAACCTAGTGTGCCTGCGAGCGTAACTGCTGATATTGCCAACCTGGATGCAGCGTCAGGTCCTCCCAGAAATGGCACCTCAAGACCTCCCATGCCTCAGTCTGGGAAATCCTATCAAAACCAACGACCCGAGACTGAGTGGAATGATCTCCCTGAGGATATGGCAAATAGCCGTCTCGCACCACCACCGCGGGTAGGAAGTACTGGCTCTGGCGCAAGCTCTAGAAGTAGCTCTGCGGCGCGAAAGAAGAGGGACAGGTCTTACCCCGCGGCTGCTTTCGGGAATTAAGGCATAGACGAGAAATATGCTATTGATAAAGCTGCTGCTAAAGAATGGATTGCTTCACGATGGTATACGATTTCAACGGTTCGGATGGGCTAGACGCGATTCAGGAAAAGACACAATATTAGACTTACTATAATAATAACCCAATAATAAATCCAGTTGCTCCTCGGAAAACTGAAAAGGAATCATCAGATTATTTTGTCATAAAACTAGTTGCCTCATAATTATACAGCTTTTGAATAGAGAAACAATAGGCGAAGGGATGAAAATATTGAAGAAAACGCCTAGGGCCCAAAAATGAACATCACCACAACCCATCACCAGCACATATATACATAAATCTTGGCATGAGTAATCAACTCAGAAAAACATAACACCGAAACATGCAGTTGC